TGACCTTCTCCACCACCATGGATATGGCTACAGCTTATCTCAGTGGGAACCTGTGGTTAATGTGAACAGATACAACCAAGGCTGTTGCTCACATCCAGTGCCATGAGAATCCTTTGGGAAACCAGAACGGGATCTGCAGTGTTTGTGGACTTAAAAGTAGTGTTCTTCCCATCCTGCTGCAAATATCCTGCCATATCCTTCCATGCCATGGCCTCGTCTATGATCACATTTTGAGGTACAATATCTGTTGCTCAACAGGTCACCTGGGGCTTTCTCCTTGCAGCTTCAGGTGTCGAATTCCCATTAAAGAGCTGTCATTCTTGCATTTTTTGGATACACCTTTCTCATTTTCTTTGCAAATTTCTGCACAGGTTTCTACATCTGTGCTGTGGCTGTTGATTAAAACATTAAAGCCAGAATATTCAGTACGCTGTGAGAAACTTCTCTATTCATCTCCCTCCTGCTAAGTACCTTCCCTCAGTGCATAACGCACCCGCATTTCCCACTTAATGAGCTTCTTGACTTAAAATGCTTCTATTAGATCATCTTTTGTGAATCGAATGACATTGAAATGACTCCATGTGCTACAGTTTCTATTCTCATTTCTATGGTACTACTCTGCTTCTTGGTCATTTGCAAAAACCTCTTACCTGGATTTGGATTTTCATGTTGTTTCTTTAAATGTAACCATTTTCATTGCAGTGCCATCATCCTTTTCCTTCCTGTTTTCTCTACATTTTAAATCACCTTCTTTGCCAAAAACCCAAGCAAAATCCCCACAACAAAACCCAAAGGTCAAATAATGACCTGGGTTTTAGGCTGGGCTACTGTTCATCTCATGCCAGCATGGCGTATGTATGTGCCTCGTTCTTTGTTTGAAGAGGTTTAATTCATCCTGACCAGTCTTCCCCCATTTGTGTTCTGTCATCTGTGATTTTTCTTTGCTATTCCTCTCCTCTTGCATGCCTTGTTGGAAAGCTCATCCCCTTCTCGTTTGTAATGCAATTTCTGAGCAGATTTTTTTACCTAAATTTCATTATTCTTCCCCTTTGAAAAATCTCTGCTCAAAGCGATCTCCATAAATGGCTCCTTTCACATCTCACAGTTTGATCTCTCATATCTTTCCCAAATTAAAGAATCCTTGTATATATTGTCATACAAAACCCCAAACTACCTGCTTGGCATATGAAACCCATTCTTTATCTTTGATCAGTCTTGTTGCCTTCTTCCACTTACACAAGAAATCCCTTTTGAGATGGGAGGACCAGGGCTCATGCAGTGTTCAAGATGGAATTGCTTTTGTTTTTTTCACTGTATAGTAGTATATAATACAGAAAGATGTTTTACCCTCACCTGCATTTATCTGCAATTATTAAAACTGAACTGTATCTCCTGTTCTATCATTGACATAACATCCTTCAGCATGTTGTTCAAGGCCAGGTTGGACAGAACCTTGGGTGACATGGTTTAGTGTGAGGTGTCCCTGCCCATGGCAGGGGGGTTGGAACTTGATGATCTTAAGGCCCTTTCCAACCCTAACTGTTCTATGATTCTTTATCGGTGTTCATGAATTCTGTTATTATTAAGGCTAATATAGTAAGAATTCATCAAAAAGCTCAATCTGAATTATACACAGGTTCCGTTCTTCTAAAACCTTACATAAACCACTGGTTTTGCTACTTCATTTCAGTTCAAGGAATTTCTAGCAATATTTTTAATCTCTATCTTAACAGTTCAACAGTTTTAGATTCATTCTTTTAGAACATTTGAGTGCTGCCAGACCTTAGAAATGGTTTGCATCTTTTCTGATTTGAAATCTCTTCAAATAATCATTGAGCAAAAACTCCTTTAGAGCTCCTCTGCCTTCCTCCAAGAGAACTTAGTTCCTAAGGAGACAAGTAGCATTTATACATGACCATGAATTCAACAACATATTGTACAGCTCTTCAGGATTATAGAATACTGACAAGCACAAGCAAACCAGCCTTGAGTTGGTACTGTGGGACCCTCAGGTATAACTAGGGATTGTAAACCGTCATCTTCCTCCTGAAGTAGTGATTGATGCTGTCACGCACAACATACATAAATGTCTGTTTTATTTAAGTAAAGAAGCAAATTTCAAGTTTCTGTTTGTTACGCTCACACTTCAAAAATGAATACAAGTAGTCATGTTAAACTTCCAAACATCATTACACAGTTTCTTAAAGCCAGGAGGAAGAAACAACAACAGGAATCTGCAATTTCCATGCTGCATTGAATGCAGCATGGAAGAAACTAAATGAAAGACAATCAAATCCAAACCCCAAACCTTCTGTTTTCTGAACAGAAGTAGTAGCTGAAGTCCTGAGTGGCAAGAGTGTAGGAAAAGGTCCTAAAGCCCTTCTTTCCCTACTTGCATCAACTAGAGCTGTTGGGCTACATTTTTACCTGACTTAGTAAGATCCTCTCTTTACAGTGTATATTTCCTGCCTCAATAAAGACCTTTTAAGATTGCCAGAATTTATGAAGAATGATTTTACAAGATCATGGTTTGAGCTTTTCAAATTAAAATGGAGTTGAAAGAGCAGTTTTGGGGCTTGGTTACACGACACATACAAGATCTGCAGCGTCACTTGCTCTACTGAGCCACTCTTCTGCTTGCCTATAAGCCTTAAAAATGTCTGTGAAGTTTTAAGTGGTCCCTGCCATGTATTCGAGGCATCTTCTCCACTATAGGGAGAGCAACTGCAGTACTGTTAATATTTTAGATAGACAAAGTAGTTGAGGTGATGAAGCACCTTATTTCCTGTCACAGTTCAGCTCGCTTAAGTGGGCAGAAGACAAACCCCATGGGAAGAAGAGGGAGGAACTGAACAGGCTCACCTGGCCATATGGTCTAACTGCACACATTGTGCTCCTGGCTAAAACCACTCTGAGGTCTCGCACAACAAACCCTTGTCTGTTCATTGCCATCCTACAAGACATGGCATGAACACACCCCACAAGCACTGAAACATTTACATGAGACCAGAAGACACTGATGATGGCAAATCACTGCTCCAGAATCTTACCTGCCTTCGCCAGCATGTAGAAAGAGCTGGACAGAAGATCTCAGTACTTACCAATGCAGCATGCAAGCTGTTGTTATTAAACAGGGGTCACAGTTCATCTTACAAACTGATATCACATGAGACTAGAATAAATAAGATTAATACAAAAGTAGATTCTTTTTTTTGGTGGAAATTCCGAACTGGATCTTTCCTACTGGAAAATAGACAAAATTTCTGCACTGGAAAGGCTGGAAAGGTTTAAATTCACAGCATTTTGTATCAGTAGAAAAGTAGCAAGTCTTTGTTTGGTGTCTATTTCACTGCCAGCAATGAAATAGGTTCCTGAGCCTCAGGCCATCTGCCTGCCTTCATTCAGTCAGCTTCACCATCGCTGGGTTTCTCTTCCGAGTCATCATTTTCATACTCCTCATCCTCATAGCCAAAAGCACCCTCAGCTTCAGGGTCAGACTGACCTTCCTCTTCATGCTCATGGGGCTGATCAGACCGAGAGCTGGGTCTTGACTGGTCATCCTCCTCCTCTTCCTGGGAATGGCTAAGTGACCGGCCTGCTTTTGCTTGTGCTTCATCTTCCTCCTTCTCCCCCTCCTCTTTCTCCTCCTCTTCTTCTTCATGATGCTGATCAGAGGGGGGGCTCAACTCAGCTGCATGGCAATGCTGATGGGCATAAGAGCTGGCTCTTGCCTCTTCCTCATCCTCCAGCTCACTGGACTGGCCATCCTGGATGGGAGTTGTGACACCTTTTCTGTTCTCCTCCTCCTCTTCCCCCCAGGACTGCTCAGACCCACTGCTGTCAGCCTCAAAGGATTCCCTTTCCTTCACTTCATCCTCGATGGCTCTGAAAAGACAATTTGAACGTGTGATTTTACTTGCAGGTAAGATGCCCTCCAGCAGGATTTCAACTACCTGCAGGTAATGTAGGACAAATCCTTGGCTGGGGTGGAAATGGGGAAGGAAAAGGGAAGGGGGGACACTGGAGTCTGCTGTTATGCTTGAAAATAACAGTATTGCTTATATATATTCAATTCTTTCATTTCTGCTTTCTTTTGAATCATAATACCTAATGGATATTGAAAAGTGGGGTTTACAAGACCTACTTTCACAATTCAGTGAAGGTAATTCAGAATGAAGTGACTTACTAGCAACCTGCCACAGTTTTTGGTGACAGGAACAAATAAAGAAGGTTTTCCTTCAGTTTTCCTTGAAGGGCATTTCAAACCATATCCAGTGCTCTCCCGTGTTTTATAAAATCACATTTAATTGGGGTAAAAGAACAGGATACATACTAATGCTAACTACAGTTGGGTATTTACATGGGAAATACTGCAAGTAAGTAAGACAAAGAAACCTACACATCAAAACTCACTAATTACTAGGTATGGGGGGGGAATCCTTCATTAATCTCTACCTTTCTCTGGCATCAGTGGAGTAATTAAAATCTTCAGCACTGGAATATTGTAGTAATTTGGTTCCTTGTCCTTTCCTTGACACAAACTCAGGGCATATCCCCAGCGCTCTCAGTCTGTTGGAGTAACGCTTTTCTGCAGCTATTCTGGCATTTTTCTGTAGGCAAACCCACAATGGTTACGTGTTATCTAAATGCATTCAATGCCTGTCTTTTGATACTTTATTGATAGTAATATTCCATTTCATTCATTGCATCTGGCAAGTGGAATGATTATTCACTGCAGGTAAAAATGGCAATACAATACTTAAACTTTACACCAGACTTTCCTTTTCTATACTAGTTTGAGCTGGTTTGCTCCCTGTACCCACTGGCTAATGAAGAGCTCTGTGTTCTGTATATAGCTCTAGAGGGAGGAGGAGGAAGATGTGGCCATGTAGAACTCCCCTAAAAAAATCAGTGTTCACCTTCGTACCTGCTGTTTAACAGATTACACAGTTGTGTATCTCTGCCTTCTGGCACTGAGGGTGTAAATTCTCTTCCACCAGCTAACATCTGAGTGAGGAGAACTTGTCCTCCAACCTACGTGGATGCTCCTGCCCCGCACCCAGGAAACCCACACAGACAAGGGACCAGGGAACCAGTGATCTATGACTTGCTGCCTCTCTGGGTCTGCAAACAGGTCAGGGACCACACTAACAGCATGTGCTTGTAATGAAATGGAGAGAGAATAATACATACTGCAGCTGAGCTTTATAGTGGACACTTGAATTTTCTTATCACTTCTTTCCCAGCTTAAACCTCCTAAATTTTTGCTGTAATTCTTTGTTGAGTTTAAAATTACTCATAGAATCACAGAATGGTTTGGGTTGGAAAGGACCTTAAGATTATTCAGTTCCAACCCCCCTGCCATGGGCAGGGACACCTCACACTAAACCATGTCACCCAAGGCTCTGTCCAGCCTGGCCTTGAACACCACCAGGGATGGAGCATTCACAACTTCCCTGGGGAACCCATTCCAGTGCCTCAGCACCCTAACAGGAAAGAATTTCCTCCTTATATCCAATCTAAACTTCCCCTGTTTAACTTTGAACCCATTACCCCTTGTCCTATCCCTCATGTTGTAACTCATGGTGAAACTGATTTGGACAACATTTACTACAGCCATCCCTGTTCCCTGTGCAAGCATGCCATGAATATCTAGTCCCCAAAATTAGCAGTATTTATATGGTTAGAATGGACAAATACTGGCCTGAAAGCTGTATTCAAGCTATCTTCTGAAAATGTCTGACTACCCATGTCTTAATGCAGTATCTGAAGGTAAGAAGTAACACAGAAGCAAGACAACCTGAGTGACTCGTTCGAAAAGCAGTGGCCTTTGTTTTACTCTTTCTTCCATTTCTTGCAGCTCTTGCAGATATTCTTGCATTCTCTGCTTCTCATAATTCCTAAGGGAAACAGAGGACAAGAGAAATGATTAGGAATTTATAATACAAGAAGCCATTTCCTACCGCAGTTAAACTGCTCCTAACAAACTCAATATTCGCCTACTTAAAGATGTATCAACAGTAAATTAGTTTACAGTGGTTACAGGCTCTGAGGTTATTGTCTCATTTCACAGCAATTGCCTCTCTGTAAGCACTGAATAAAACTGGCTGGGAAGCTGTCACTTTGGAGAAGCAGAGAGAGGTCCTGGCCACTGAGCTTAAACAGAGTTTGCCTGAGTTTGGATTCTTAGGGTTATTTAGGATACTTAGTTTTTTAAACTCTGATTTCATACAGATATTCTGCTTCTTCTAAGCAATACTGAGTAGAATACACATAGGAAATTAGTATCATTAAACAAAACTCAGCACTTTAAGGTAAAAGTTTGATGATAAGAAGCTTGTTACTTTTCCAGTCTGTCTCACAAGAGGGGTGGCCACATTCTGGATCATAGAATCCCAGACTGGTTTGGGTTGGAAGGGACCTTAAAGCTCATCCAGTTCCAACCCCCTGCCATGGGCAGGGACACCTTCCACTAGAGGAGGTTGCTCCAAGCCCCTGTGTCCAACCTGGCCTTGAACACTGCCAGGGATGGGGCAGCCACAGCTTCTCTGGGCACCCTGTGCCAGTGCCATCATAGGACACTGTTCTCCTACTTGGCTTGTCAAGGTCCCAGGCAATACAGCAGGATGAGGAAATGTCTCAGATCACAGCAAGCACCAGATAATCCAGGTAATGGGCTGTAATCCTCTGTGTGTGACACAGACACCTCTCTGTGGTATTGCCTCTGTGCTGGGCCAGCTCCAGCATTACCAAGTCACTTAAGGTCAGGCATGAGAGCTCTGGCACATTTACACTTGTATCTCCTCCTGCCTCCTTCCCTTACTATCCTCTGAACTTCTGCAAGGCACAACAGCTGTGCATTAAAGCAAGTTATTCACCACGTGGAGGGAGTGAACTTCATTGTTGCTCCTTGCTTGCTCTCTACAAACCTAATTATCTGTTAGGAGAGCACTTACATTAATGTACCCTATTACCCAGCCTATGCTGAAATAAGCATTATCAAGTTAAGCACTTGTACCAGCCTTAATGCATCAGCACCAGGGAAGTAATCTGGCTTTGTAACAGCATAATTTTATGTGCAGACAAGAACGCAGGACGAGTGTGTTACAATATGCACCAAATCTGATTAAGCTGAAGACTTCAATGTTGAAGTTTGCTGTTGAATGAACTCAAATCACATCTTGTAAACACACCCACTACTCCTCTTGATTCTCCACCCTGCTACTGTAACTCAGCTTGCTTTCTGCTTCTGCCCTACAGTCAGCAGATCATCTACCCAAGGACAATGACATTAGAAAGCTCCTGTTATTATCTACTGGTTGCATTACAAAAGCAATAGTGTTTGAGCTCTGACTCTACCCAAATAGTCAGAAGGCACTGCCCTCTTTGACCTGCATCTCTACCACTGCATCTCTGCTGCCCAGGACCATGTGTAAGTCCTGCTTCTGCCCTTGTGTGCTTTGCCTACAGCCCTTGCCTCCACCTGCATTTCAGACAGATCTCTGGCTTCAACCATATTCTAAATGTCTTAATGTTTAGTAGGAGAGTTAAGAATTGCTAATCTAAGCTACAAATCTCATAATCAGGCCTATCTCATGAGCATTCATGAGTGTGAGGTGTCCCTCCCCATGGCAGGGGGTCGGAACTGGATGATCTTAAGGTCCTTTCCAACCCAAACCATTCCATCATTCACCCTTGTATTGTTTTGCCCTACCACTGTCAGTTACTGGCTGTTTGCCTCCTTACTGGAAATCAGGATTTGAGTCGCTGCCCAGGATCCTGCCTATGCATGAAGCAACAGAGGCAGAGCACTCAGTACCTCTCACTGTCACCACGTAACCCCACCTTAAATGGATGATACTGCTGCAGTGCCATGGTGCCAAGAGAGATATAAACCTCACTAGAGACTCATTCAAACAGGACTAATTTGTGGAGGTTTTTTCCTAGGAATTACAAAGAACAAGAAGCAGAAATGAAAAGCAGAAACAAGGCCAAGCATCAGTTCTGGAGTCAGATCAGCATTGGAGAGCTGGAGCCCTCTGGACTGGTAGCTTACAGCACACTGAGAAGGCTCTGATGTTTATTCCTTGAGTGCTACTTTTCCTCAAGTCCTATAGAAACAGCCTTCCAGTCTCTATCTCTACTAAAGGGAGTTTTGGATCCCATTCCCACTAAGCACCAGCAGCTTCCTGGTTTGCTGCTGATACCTGTGCTACATTGAACTAATATTCCTGCTCTAATTTTCCCTCTTAAGTGGGGTCCTGCTGGGACAAAGTGATGAATTGTGACTTATTCATTACTGTAGGAGACAGCGAGCACCAAAGTTGTACCAACACCTGGCATTCCAGCAGTGCAAGGGTATTCTGTAACTACACTGGTCCTTTTCCTTTTGATTTCTGCATTGAGGAAACATAGGAGCTAAGCTGTAATATCATAAAGATCAAAATCCTGAGAAAAGGCAACAATTTCCCGGCTGGAATACTGCATTTGGCCACTTCTTTCCTACCTGCTTGTACAGTGTATGATTTAGCAAACGTGTGACTACATAAACTTGGACTACACTATATTTTACATTGTATGTCTCTCATACAATGTAGAATGAGATCTCCAGGATCAGGGGAATGCAACAAGATACCTGAATGTTCTTAATTTGGATTCAGACACCTGAGCAAGGCTCTGATGGGGGTCATTGGCCTCAGCCCGAATGGTTACAAGTTTCTGGAGGCTTTTTGTTCTTTGTTTCTGCTTTGTTCTGATCCTTTGCTGCTGTTCTTCCAGCTTCCTCTTTTCCTCAAGTGAACTCCTGGTGGAAACATAAACTAAGGCTGAATTCACTTTGAACCAAGAGCAAGACCTCAAAGGAAGCTTTGGCAAAGAGGAAAGCAGGGTGAAAACAGGGTAGGTGTAAGAGGACACAAGGTACGTGCCATTTTAAGGGATTCAGGGGCATCCTGGGAAGCAGTGGGCATTTATCCCTTTCCTGTGCATATGCTGACAAGAATGTACTATTCTTTCTTTAACAATCTTAAGTCCTACTTTTAAGTATTTTGTCTATTATAATTAAGCCCTTATATTAATATACATTAAGTTCTATATCCACTGCATGGAAAAATTCACTACATATTCAGCCCAGAAAGCAACCGTATCCTGAGCTGCATCAAAAGGAGCGTGACCAGCAGGTCGAAGGAGGTGATCCTGCCCCTCTGCTCTGCTCTCGTGAGACCTCACCTGGAGTATTGTGTGCAGTTCTGGTGTCCTCAACATAAAAAGGACATGGAACTGTTGGAACAAGTCCAGAGGAGGCCACGAGGATGATCAGGGGACTGGAGCACCTCCTGTATGAAGACAGGCTGAGAAAGTTGGGGCTGTTCAGCCTGGAGAAGAGAAGGCTGCGTGGAGACCTCATAGCAGCCTTCCAGTATCTGAAGGGGGCCTATAGGGATGCTGGAGAGGGACTTTTCATTAGGGACTGTAGTGGTAGGACAAGGGGTAATGGGTTAAAACTGAAACAGGGGAAGTTTACATTGGATATAAGGAGGAAATTCTTTCCTGTTAGGGTGGTGAGGCACTGGAATGCGTTGCCCAGGGAGGTTGTGAATGCTCCATCCCTGGCAGTGTTCAAGGCCAGGCTGGACAAGGCCTTGGGTGAGAGGGTTTAGTGTGAGGTGTCCCTGCCCATGGCAGGGAGGTTGGAACTGGATGATCCTAAGGTCCTTTCCAACCCTAACTATTCTACAATTCTATGATACATAGAAATACCAGAGAAGACTGCTCTTAAAGTACATCCACAACATAGAGCACCACTGCAGTAGTCACCTTATGGCGTGTATGCGACGTCTTGTGGATTCTGTGATTTTTGGTGATTTAGCTCCTCCAAGATGTGAATTTACCCTTGAATGTCTCATCTGGGGTTTACGTCTTGGAGAGACATATGGCCAGCGTGTTTCCTTCAGCTTCTCTTCATCCTCTTCAATGTCCTTCAATATCTTCCCCTTGTTTGAGGGGATATATGGAGTACGGAGACCAAAAGGTTCACAGACCGTCAGGTGCTTCACTTGTTTCTGCTGCAGGAGCCGCTGCTGAAATCTCTGGTGCAGCAGTTCAAAGTCTGGAACACTTGATTTGATCCTGGGTTTATGCTCCGTTTGCTTTGGTTCACTGCACTTGGGCTTCTTCTTTTTGCTGGTGTCTTTCAAAGCCAGCCTGCTGTTGGGGAGAGATGAATTACGTAGCAGCTCCTCAGCTCTCATTCTGATCCTGATCTCCCTGTAGAGCTCCTCCTCCTTCAGCCTGTCATTAACAGCCGGGCTATAGACACATCTAGGAACCGGTTTTGCTTTGAACAGTCCTGTTTTCTTTCCAGGCGCAGAAAGGTCTCTCAGTTGCATTTTCCTCATCTCGTTCCTTTGCTTCTCTCGCTCAATGAATTTAAACGGCTTCTGACAAGCCAAGAGCTGCAGTTTGCTCCTCTCTTTCACAGACCTCCTGCGTTCCTCATTGCGCTGCACGATTTCATGGTAGAGCGGCAGGAAGACAGCAGCGGGCACCGGGTTGGCTCGGAACTGCTTCTGACACTCTGCTTCCTCCTCCAGCTGCTTCTTCAGTAAGTTGTTCTCCATTTCAACCAGCGATCTTGACTTGATGTTCTGCTCTTTCTTCCTGGCTTCTCTGATGGTCATCTGGAAGGGCTTGGGCACCGTCACTTTGGGTGACCATGCTTTCTCTTTCTTCTGCCTGGTTCTGTAGGCGGGTGAGCTGGGTTTGGTGCGAGGGATGTAATCTTCCACAGAGAACCCATCCCACATGGTTTCAATCCGTTGCTTGGCAAGTGCAGATGATGGAGTTTCACTCCTGTTTTCTTCAAAGGCTCTGTCAGACCCCTCAGATACACTCAAGCTTAAGGGATCGCTTAAGTCAGAGTCTGAAAAGGATTTGTGCAGATGTAGAGGCTGATACGAGCTCTTCTCCCAAGTTGGCCTTTAAAAAAGGGAAGAAAAAGGTGTTCTGAGTCAGTCCAACACTGGTACAAAGCCAGTAACTTCCACTGCGAGGTATCATCGTTAGAAACAAAACTCAACAGTGCTGGCTGGGGAAAGGAAAGGGTAAGAGAAGCACATGGGGCACTCAGGCCTGATCATAGGTTTAAGCCAATGCCGGTCACAAACAAGTCAGCACTTCCTAAGGAAAGGCACTGTGCCTTACTAAACGTGCTGCCCAGCCTCTGCTGCACACACACTTGTAACTCTCACAGCCCTTTAGCAAGGTGAAAAAGCATTTCTGTTATTAAAACAAACTTCTCTGTGTTACCTGCTTAGAGGAAATGGGGACAGTAACACTTTCCAGCCCCAGGAAACAAACCCCACAAACCTGGCTTACAGATCTCTGCAAAGCGTTTCATCATACAATCAGAGCCTGGGTTGGGTTGGAAGGGACCTTAAAGCTCATCCAGTTCCAACCCCTGCCACAGGCAGGGACACCTTCACTAGATAAAAGGCACCACCAGACTTACCTGCAGCACATACCAGCAGCAGCATTCTTCGTGCCCAGGGGCTGCTCTCTTTTCAAATGCAGTTTATTCCTGTACATACTTTCCAGTTTGGCCATGGTCTCCAAGTGCGCGTTCTTCAGCTCCTCCAGCTTCAGGTAATACTCTTGGTTTGAATGGTGCATTTTGGAGAAGTCTATCTGCTTGTCACAGTCTCCACTCAGAGCCAGGGGCTGCTCCCTGTTGGTGCTTGAATCCAAATCAAAACCATCCTGCAAGAGAGGGATGTTTGCAAAGTGTTCTGATTGTTACAAGGGGGAACAAGGTTCTTAATATTGCTTTAGCCTGGTTATGCTAATGAATGGTACAGTAATGCCAAAGAGAGATACAAGGATGCAAATGTTATCACAGAGCTACATGGAGTAATCTTACTGTATGATAATTTATACCCTACAGGTCCTACTTAAAGCACATAGGATCCCTAAATCTGCCCTGTAATCACTGTATTTACACCAGGAAATGCTATCTAAAGGATTTACCAAAGAAACCAGTGTAACTATGTTGTAAAGTGTCATTTTACCTTTGATTACTGTGCAGCTCTAGGAAAGCCTTCCTTTAGAAGCAAACAGACCCAAAGCAGAACCTTCCCTGCCTTCTGTTCCCATAAGGGAAGCCATCAGGTATTGTGTGTGTAAATGTTTATTCCCCTTTCCATAAGTTGCTGTGGAACAACAGGGATGCTGATGGTTGCACTGCTGTCAGGCAGCTTGCAGCTGTGTGCAAGCAAGCATGTTAAGTACATTTAAAGCTTACACGTTAGAGAAGTCATTAAACCCAGGTTTGTGTGCATACAAGGACTCCCTTTTGTTATCCTTAAACACCATGTTTAAAAAAGATCCAGGGCACTTTCTTTATCCCAAAATCAATGCTTTTCCACATGGAGATGTTTTAATAAGCTCTGACCTTCCCACAAAACATCGCGTTTATGTTCTGTCAGGTTTTCACTGCAAACCACCTTTCTTCCCCAGCATCGAGACCTAACGCACGATGAGCCACACGACCAAGGAAGCGAGTTTCAACAGTCGTTACAAAGGCACCATCCGCCTCCTCCTGAGCCCATCCCGTGTGAACCTGCCGGCTCCCTCCTCCGTCCGCAGAGCGATCCCAAGCTCTTCCCGGCCCTGGGCATCGCCACTTCTTATCTCCGCTCTCCCAACCCCGGCCGCTCCAAGCTCATTAAGGGATTGGTGCCGCACAGGCAGGACCAGCTGCCGGCTGGTTGTGCCTGTCTCTGCCGCTGCCAGGAGCTGCAAAGGCTCCCGTGGCTCCGGCGCAGCAGCCCCGGTGCAGGGCGGGTTACGGCGAGCCCCTCACCCCGCCTCCCGCCTCGCTCCACGACCGGTAACGGCGCTTTCCGCGCCCGGCGGTACCTGCGCGGCGGCTGCGGGCGGCGGCTCCCGCTCGTAGAGCGCGGCAGGGGCGCGGGTGCGCGGGTCCAGCGGGGTGCGCAGGCAGGCGGCGGCCAGGAGCGCTGCGCGGTGCCCCGCGTCCATCCCCGCGGGCAGCGCCGGCCGCAGCTGCGCCCGCTCCGCCCCGATGGAGGCGGCCCCTTGGGCGGAAGCGGGGCCGCTTCATCCGGCCCCTCTCCTCCGCGGGGCAGCGCGGCTCCGAGCCGGGGGAGCCGGCGGGGAGGCGGCAGCAGCGCAGGCTCCTTGCCGCAGTAATCTCCGGGCCGTCTGCGGGGACACGGCTGTGGCTTCCTGTCCTCGTCTGCACACTGGGCTGGATTTACGCTGCTTTAGGTGGAAGTCGTTTAATCGGAACTCGCACCTCTCCTTCACAACCCACGGTTTTTACCCCCTCAGGTTATGACTCTTCTCCCGTTTTCGTGTGTGCTGCACATAAACGACAACGGGATAAAGGTAAATTGGGAGCAGCAGATTTCCACCGCCCCTGCAGAGGTGTTAATGACCAGTGCACCTATTCATTGTGTTGAAATTGCAAATACTTATGTAAAGACACAGAGAGAAGGATTGAATCCCATACAGTGGTGGTTGTAAATCTTGTCAAGAACTGGAAGTTTAGTCAAAGTGAACACCTGAACTAGAAGAGATCACTACTGAATGTAATCCTGTGGGGTAAGGTGGCATTTGGAATGCTCATGTTAGATACAGAGAAGTTCTTTACTGTGAGGGTGGTGAGGCGCTGGCACAGGGTGCCCAGAGGAGCTGTGGCTGCCCCATCCCTGGCAGTGTTCAAGGCCAGGTTGGACACAGGGGCTTGGAGCAGCCTGCTCTAGTGGAAGGTGTCCCTGCCCATGGCAGGGGGTTGGAGCTGGACAATTTTAAGGTCCTTTCCAACCCAAACCATTCTGTGATTGTAAACAGCCTCTAGTGTGTGGTAATTCATGCACAGCAGGAATGCCTGAATCAACTATTTATTAGTCATAGGAAAGTGCTTCAACAGTAGCTGGTCAGCAAAGTGGTGGAAGTTTACTCAAAACGCACAGATCCAATCAATTCAAACTTTCAGGCTAAGAATGTCAGGTTGAAAAATGTTTATTCTAAACTGTGCAATGTAACATTGAAAATAGCTGTAAACTGAATGTACTGGGGCAGCTGGGATGTTCCTGGTAGCTGCGAACCCAACAGCTATGTGCAGCTAACTGCAGGTATAAGTAGATTTTAGTATGTGTTTTACAACTTGGCTTGCAAAGTGTCATTTGCACTGTGCTACAATGGTACAACTGACTCTGGGGAAAAGCAGTCAAGGGGGAGATGTGTGTGGATTACTGAAGCTGTCCAAAGGTTTCAATCCTAAGTTTTTCCCGAACAGAACTGGGAGTTGACCACCACGGTGCTGGAAACGATCAAAGGAGCAGTTAGGGCTGTTCAAGGGAGATGCAGCCATTATCATCCCAAACTGATTTCAAATAAATCCCTGTAACTACAGTAATACCACCCTTGTCTTTTCAGAAGCAGGCTGTTTTGACCCTTGCACTCTGCTGCTTGATGCAGTACAAAGAGCTGGGTGTGAAGACAGCCCTGTTGTGATGCTCTGGGTTGTCAAAGGTCATTCCAGACCTCAGCAGTGAGCAGAGCAAGGAATGTGATGCTGTTCTGAAGTGCCATCACTGCAGACACTCCCTTGTTCAAGCCAGGCATAGGTAAAGGAAATGACCCCTGCAGTACATGTTACCAGAGTGTAAGTTCAAGGGTGTCTTTACAAGAGCTAATTACTCACTGTTAAACTTTCCAGAGCTAAAGCAGGACCACGTAGCACAGAAAACCAAATCTAACAGATTTATCTTATTTCTGACAAAATTATAAAGCAAAGCCTGTGGTAAACTACTGCATGTTTATTGACAAACAGCATTTCCTCTTCCAAACCAGATTCTTACTGTTTTA